CCCCCGCCCCCCGCCTCCCCTACCACGTCCCCCGCAACTCCAAGGGCTCTATCCCCGTTTACACAGACATTCGCAACGCCGGCACCCGCCACCTCACCCTGATCCGCAACGTCCAGGGCAACATAGACGTGAGTAAGCTCCCGCCGTTTCACACTGATCCCCGTCTCCTCTCACCTCCGCCGCCTAGGCCCTCGCCAAGGACCTCGCAGACTCCCTCCACCCCGCTGCCTCCCCCGAGGCTCAGCGTATGAAAATACACGCCGTCAGGTCCAAACACCTCATCCTCAGCGGTGGCCGCTGGAAACACGATGTTATCCGCTGGCTCACAACAAAGGGTTTCTGATCTCCCATCGTCTGGTACACACCCTAATCCTGTTTCTCCCTCATATCACCTTCCCTATGCTACATCTCCTTGACATCCCTTTCCCGTCCACATCCATCCGTCACACCCCAGCAAATGATGGGCCTCCATCGCTACATCATACACGCGTATACTTCCTGCGTGGCGCCGCCCATTGATCGCCCCAATTGTGTCCGCCCACATGTCCAACCTTATATCCTTCCGCATAAAACGTGTCCTTTTTCCTCTCATCTGTTGTGCTCTTCATTTGTGTCTCGCTCGGCCTCACAGCCCGCACACTGTGTCTGGCCGTGCCCCTCGATGACTTCGTGAGCCCCTGCGCAGCACGCAGCTTCTGCCGTCCAAGTGCCATCCCCTGATAGCCGGCGAGGGGCCCGTGTCACAACCCATTCACTAGTCCCATGGTGCCATGGTCCCCAGCCTGTCGTCACGACACCCCGTCTCCAAAGACGCACAGATACACCCATTCGCCCGACACGCCCGGGCTCGTCTCGTTGGGCTCGCAGACCTGTTCGAGGGTAGCACCACTCATATACGTACGGGTTCGTCGGATGTTTTGCTGCACGCCTGTGGTCCGATCCAATTACAGCACCAGGCGGCTCGCTGGGTCCAATTCAAATATCTGATCACTCAAGATCGGATTCCGTCCTGGCGTCAGACACGCGCCCACGAGGCGGCCTCAGTAGAGCTGATACCAGTCCGTGTGGGCGAGCACCATATTATGAGCCTGAACATATATTGTACTCTCATTTCTCTCCATGGACGGCGCGCCCAACAGATGACGCACCTCCGGCCGTCACGGCAACGTCTATGCGGAGATGTAAGAAACACCGTCGTCTCCATGAAACCTGGTATGATCTCCAGCCTAATTATTGTGCGCGTGCCGGGATGAGGTTAAGCGAAACCACTTGTTGGGCCACGCCCCATCGGGCCAGATGTCCTCGAGAGGCGATGCCTGATCCTGGTGTGCATCGCGCACCTCAGATATCTACTAGCTGGGCACAGGTCCACACGCACAGAAATGATGGCCAACGACGGCTGCTGCAGAGCTGCTGGATTCGCGCTGATTGGGCGTGCCTGCATTGATTGTGCGCGCCAGTTGGTCTGATCCACTGATTGCACGGTAGGCGGGCTGCAGCGTTTGGCCCTCGAAGCACACCGCGGGTAGCATCAGAAACCATATCAGCACCACAGACGAGACTGTCGCATCAGTCGCAATAGTCTCCTGAGTCGCCGAGCACGACGACTTCCGATACGGGACTGGAGTTTCATGAAGTAGGCGCCGCTAAAACCACCCACGCGCACCTATGTGCGGTGTGTGCGCGCGCGATGGCATCGATACATAGAACAGGTACGAGTACGACACATACGTGGATATCCGTGGTACTAGTGATCACCCGCCCAGGGCTGCAAGATGCGGCTGTGGTCTTTTTTCGCATGATCGGCCCAGAAGTCGTTGTTGCAGGGCCAAAGACAAGCAGGCGCCCGTGCACGCACCGAACTGCCCACTCACCCATGATATATGATGTCTTTTTACCACAGCGAACACGCCACGCAGTGTACGACGAGAAGTACTTGTGCATGGAAGAGGTGTCCCTGTCAGATACTTCAGAAGCTGATTCGCTGTGGAAACGTGGTGTACCTTCTAGAGTGTTTCTGCCAGCTGCGGTATGTGGACACGGAAACTCGCAGCTTCCGGGTTTCCTACTCGGTAGTGCCACGAGCTTGATTGACTTGTGGAGGGCCCGAGAGGAACCCAAGGAGAGCAGTGTGCCGGAAGAGGTCCGCTGGATTTGTCTTCTCGGGACACGCAGTGGGGAGTGATGCGTTCCTGAACCGAGTCACTGCGACCACGTAGATTCGCCAGCTCCAAGCGCGAAAATGTAAAACACAGGATATCAGGACAAGTGCCTCGGCGAAAGAAGCGCATTTTTTGGAGTGCGGAAGAATGCTACTGAGCGGTGATCGCTTCCGAGGCCAGAAACAGCTGGAATGCAGTGTCCGCAGAAAGGCAGCGCAAGAACATACGTGTATGAAACAGATCCAGTCCGACTACCCAGGATAGTATATTCGTAGCATAGAGGTCAATGGAGACATCGACTTCGCATGAAGTCTGCTTGTGCCCAGTGCATACAACCCATCCCATTTCACTGATCTTATTGAAGGAGAATTTAAAATCGCGCAACTGTTTCTTGGTCGTGACAGGCAATGCTAGAAAAAGACAGGAGATATCAAGACGAGTGCCTTGGCAAAAGCGGTGCGTTATTCGGGCTGCGGAAGAGGACCGCATAATGGCGGGCATCGATCGCTCCTGAGGGCGGAAAAAGGTTTTGGGATGCGATGTCCGCAGCGACGCAGTGCAGTAACAAAGATGCACAAAGGAGACCCAGTTCAGCTGCCAAGGATGCGTTCGCAGCACAAAGGACAATGAAGGCGGGCGGCGAAACCAGCAACCGAGCCAGAGGGTGGTCCCAACGCATACACCCCATTTCAAGGAGAAAACCCGGAGCCACTTCGCGCATGGAACATTCTCGTCGCATCATATCCGTGCTGGATATACTTTCTGAGCAATGGCCGGAGCTAATAGAAGGGGGCAAGACGGGCGATCGTTCGTATCGTGCGCGAGGAGCCGTGTCGGGGGCGATCCTGTGGCTCAGGGGCGGTCCGAGCGGCTTGGCTTCGCATGAGTCCAGCTGAGGAAAGCATCCGAGATTGACGCGACGGGACTCAGTGCAATGCGGGCGCAATGGAGGATTCAGCAGCGAGTGGCGAAAGGCACGAGCGACTGCATTTATTTTTGTATTTTGGCCAGACGGGGATATCCGTGGATATCAGCCCAGAGGAATATATAACAGACCACTTACCGACGGTTGGGCTGGATATCTGCGCGATGAACATGTGAAGAGTGTGAATGGGACGAGGCGAAGACGCACGGATGATCACGCACTAGGATGCGCTTTCAACGAAGTCGGTGCGTCTCGCATTCAGTAGACTATTTGGATTCAAGCTTCGATTTGTGGAGCGATAGCTATAGAGATAAGCGGCTTACCAGACAAACTTAGCTGCGACGTCGATCCACAATCTAGACGTAAATAATTTGAGCTCAGAGCCAGACCTGCAGGCATAAGTATGCACCGGCTACAGAAGAGAAGCCGTTCTACATCCACGCTAGGACGCAGATACCACGAGCAGTGAATTGGCGGATGAGCTCTCCCGCCCCGCGCATAATGACGGGTGATCACGGAGTTTGTATGGTGAAAAGTGACTCACTGGTGCTGTAATCTCATTGAATGACTCGTCTCTGGAGCTTCTGCCGTCCCGCCAGCGCACCAGCGAGTGAGCTTGGGGATCCCGGCGGGACACCGACAGGCTGTCAAACACTCCGAGAGGGGATACCGCTGTAAGTTGTCCTTGCTAGCGATTCCAATTTTCGTGGTCCCAGGCTAGATGGAGATTCACTGAAAGGCTGGCTCCAGGAATGCGATGATGCTGTATTGTGCGCGCGCATACATCTGTAGACATGTCAGTCGTTCCTGGAGCAATGCGATAACAGTGAACCGCACCCGATGGAGCTGGATCCGTCAAGGGGCGGCGATGGATGGGATTAAAGAGCGATTGGACGGTTCGGAGATGGCGGGCCTGACGGGCAGCCGCGGGACGCGGGTCAGTGATTGTGAAAACGATGGAGGGATATGAGACGGAGGGAGGGAGGGGAGTCAGGGCGGAAGCTGAGGCCACTGCTATTTCTATAACGCTCTGCGACGATCCCCGCCGATCTCCCTCATTCCGCGCACGATGACCACGCCCTCCTCCCAGCCCTCTGGCGTCGCAACCCCGCCTTCTGCCATCCACCACGGCGCAGGCAACCCCGCAGGCACTCCCGTCCTCGCCCCCACCCGCTCGACCCAGACAAAGGATGGCGGGAGCAGCTTGGGTACTTTCGGGGTGCGTGCCTGCGCGCTCGCATTCTGGTCGCCTGCTCACCCCTCGCCAATGCATTTTTAGGTAAAATCTGGTCTCGCGCAGATGTTGAAGGTATGCTCCCGGAAGCCGTCTCCTAGACTGCTCGCTCACCGTGCGTAGGGTGGTGTCATTATGGACGTAATCAACGCGGACCAGGTGGGTCCAATTCCATCGGATGCTACTTTCAAAGTCTCACTAGAAGTCAGGCACGTATAGCCGAGGAGGCTGGGGCATGCGCTGTAATGGCTCTGGAGAGGGTCCCCGCCGACATCCGAGCGAACGGAGGCGTTGCGCGAATGGTATGTCCGGCCCTCAATCTCTACGCCTGTTTGTCGGCTGACGACCCTCTCGCAGAGCGATCCCAAAATGATCAAAGAGATTGTCGACGCGGTCACAATCCCGGTCATGGCGAAGGTCCGCATAGGCCACTTTGTCGAGGCCCAGGTGCGCATATATGGGACACCCTCTTCGAATCTTCGATTTATAAGATTCTAGATCCTGCAAGCTATTGGAATCGATTACATCGACGAATCCGAGGTATTGACGCCGGCGGATGAAGAGCACCATATCAACAAGCACGCCTTCAAGATTCCCTTCGTCTGCGGTGCACGCAACCTCGGCGAAGCCCTTCGGCGCATCTCTGAAGGCGCTGCATTCATCCGCACCAAGGGTGAGGCAGGTACTGGGAACGTCGTCGAAGCCGTACGCCACCAGCGCGCGGTGATGAGCGAGATCCGTAAGGCCAGCGTGATGAGCGAGGAAGAGCTATACGCGTACGCAAAAGATATCCAGGCGCCATTCCATTTGTTGAAGGAGACAGCGCGTCTGAAACGCTTGCCTGTTGTGAACTTCGCCGCCGGCGGTCTCGCAACTCCTGGTGCGTAAATTGTGTTTTCGGCTCTTTGGAAACAATAACTTATACCATCACCCGTAGCCGACGCTGCGCTCATGATGCAGCTAGGATGCGACGGAGGTGAGCCCTACAAACTTAACATTCAAGGGAGCGAGCAGCTGACACTTTGAAAGTTTTCGTCGGGTCTGGCATTTTCCATGTCTGTGTCTTCGATCCTTGCCCAGAATCATTGCATTCTTATTGTGACCATTCATAGTCTGGAGATCCTGCTAAGCGTGCGCGCGCGATCGTTCAAGCTGTGGGTTGCCCAGTTCTGCTTCTGTTTTAAAGGATACCCTGTCTGATCCCTGAGATCTAGGTGACTCATTATAACAATCCAAAAATTCTCTCCGAGGTTCGTTGTGGTTCTCTCTCCGATCTTTATTGTGTCAAGCTTACTGATTACTGCGATGATTGTAAAATGCAGATATCGGAAGACCTGGGAGATGCCATGGTTGGGCTGACAATGTAAGTTATAATCACTCACACATAAATGGTGATAGCGGTGACTGTTCACAATTTTCACAGCACCGATGACATGAAAGGTGGTAGACTGGCGTCCAGGGGATGGTAATAAAGCTCTACCGTCAATCCAGACGATTACGTCGTACCTCGTAAATACACGAGAATGTAGTGATAGTTCGAGGTTGATAACGTGTAGGACGCGGCAGAAAAATAAACGTTGTATTCAAGTTGTATTATCACCAAGAACGACGTTCGCCGTCCGCCGACGTCATCGCGGACCTCGGTCGGATCATTAGCGCCCGTGGCCACTGTTCGAACATACACTTTCACGACACTCCCTAGTGCATGTCTCTCTCCCATAAACTTTTGTGTAGAGTCAATTCAGATCGCAAAAACAACATGTCGACGTACAAGCCCGAAGACGAGCTCAAGTCATTCGTTTCTGTAAGTAAAGATGGTTTTCTGCAATGTCCGTCGAGAGGCTGAGCGTGCATACTAGGAAGACCCAAATTCGAAGTATACCTTCGACAGTGAGCGCGATGCCTCACAATCCGAAATATGTCGAGAGGAGAAGAAGGGGCTGAAATGCATTACGGTAAGTGTCCATGTACTTGAGAAGCATCCTGCCGGCTCATCGTATTCGGATTCTCCCAGCTGGCGATGCACTCGAAGCAGATGTTCGTCGCCATGCAAGTACGTCCATTTTGGCTTCCTTAGCTTATTGTCGTCGGTCTAATGCATACTCGCACGCAACCATAAGGCCCAAGGGTTTTACTGCGCATTGCCCATGGATCCCACCGAGACTCACATTGAATGTACACCAATACCGAAATCATAATTTCTGTAATAATTAACTAATTATGCTATCGCGTACACTAGACAGTACAAGTGAGATAGTCAAGACTCTTAATGACGATCACAAGGGAGGATATCATAGTGGGTTATTAGGATGCGTTTCGCTCTGCCGCTATAGAATTTGGCTCTCCGTCATGTGCAGGTGTCGCGCGAACATAGTCAATACCAAGCTGTCCTCCACGCGCCTTCTCCAGCTGCTCTCCAGACATAATCCGACGGGCGGTTGCAGCGTTCAGTTCAATCGTGGACATATCTAACTCGTGCAGGGCCCGTCTGGCAGTTTTTTGGAGGTTCTGGTAATTTGTCGCAAGGTGCATCCGATTTCTGCGCAGCTGGTCAAGCTGGAGCGAAGGTGAGCTAGTCATCCTATTCAAAATTCGAGCGAGTTACATACCTCAGTCGTAAGTGCTGCCAAGTCCATTCTGTGAGGCCATCGTCGATGATCGTACTTCTTGATATTCAAGACGAACTGCCGTGGTCCATCGGGTGTGTATATCATATGTGTCGTAATGATAGACTCATCGTTGGAGACTTGCTGAGATTCTGGAGCAGACGGAATCCAACGAGGCCGTTCCGCTCTCGTCGGCTGAACGGCTCCTGGCTGCGGCGTTTTCGGTGAAGAGGGGATGGGGGGTGTAGGTATATAACGTCGAGGCGCGATTGGAGGTGTGCGAGACTTTTTATGAGGTAGAGGAGGCTGTATAGTGTCTTGCGTCGGCTGCAAGGATTGAGAGAACTGGCTGACTTCTATTTTCATATCAACCTCTCGCATCTTTCCCTTGTCTGCTCGAGACAGATGTGCAGGCGAAATGGGTTCACCTGTGTCTTCCACCTTCACTTCAGGCTTCGCGGACAATGTTAACTCGTTATTGGGTGAATTCCTAGGTGCAGGTGACAAGCGTGGAGGCAAAGATTTAGCATCTTCGGTCACTATTATGGGCAAAGAACGATTTCGACTCGGGTCACTCTCCAAGACATCAGGAGGATTACTAGGACTCCGTGCAACCTTTTCTTTGCGGTGATCGCTTATGGGTGATCTTGGTCGTGGTGAGAGATCTCGTGGACTACCGACGGGCCCAGCTGACCTCGGACTTGCAGGAACGGAGGGTTTACCTACCCTCGCCCCGCCAGGTGGTGACTTCGTACGGGAGCGCCGTCGCCGATGCGTGTCATTGGGTGTCGATGGACGACTGCGCTGTCTGCGCACGGGAGTGTATGATCGCCTGTAAGAAGATCTTGGAGAACGTGCCCGTGTTGGAGTGGGCGAACGAGAACGGCGCGGGCGCCCAGTCACTAAAAAAGTGAGCATCGGAGACAGATGCAAGTAATGTCTCAAGACACACCTATTCGACGTGGAGGAGACCTTGATGTTCTTGACGTCCAAGCCCTCTCGGGCTCGGGCTCACGCACTCGTTCTCGTCTCCTGTCATCTTCCTTCCATTCACGATGCCTCAGCGGGCTGTACTCTCGCCGCTCTGGCCGCCTCGCTCGACCCTGATCTCTCTCCCTTTCAGAACGTTCTGAGTGCCCGTGTCGAGTCTCATGCGAGTACTCTCTCCATTCGCGTTCTCTTGCGTCTCTGACTTCCCAATATTCTCGGTATCTGTCTTCTTCTCTGCGGTCATAAGACGAGACATATGAGTCTGCAGATGGCCTATGGGCTCGATATCCGTCTACCGGTCTTGAAGAATACGATTCAGGGGGGTACCGCGAGCGTGGTGGATAATGATCATCCCGTTCGCGGTAGTAGCGGTCTGGAGGTCGGTCGTAGTGCCTATAGTCTGCAGAGTACCGTCCGGGAGACTTGGGTCCAAAATCAGGTTTTGGAGGTAAATGTGACATAGAAATGGGCTACAAGTCGATGTTGTGCGCCTCAGACTACTCAGTCAGCACTCGACAATTGGTTGAAGCTTCGAACTTGAGAGCCATTCGTGCCACCCTATGCTGGTGCCATTGTTGTGGCATGTTTGCCAACGGCTTCTGCCAAACTAAGCTCTGTACTCAACACTCGGCAACATTCTGGCCGATCACCGTTCTCTAACCCTAGCATATGGACCAATGTCAACCGCGCTGTATCCTCTCGCATCTCTCGCGCAAATAGAGAAGACACCCTCTCGTGAAGATGGAATACCTGGAGATTTGGAAGAAGATCTGCGTGCATATGGGTGCAAGCTCATACATGAAGCAGGCATTCTTTTGAAACAGTACATGTTCTCTATTCTTTATACGATGATTTGCATGTTGAGGTTGGCTGAGAACAGAAAGCAAGTTGCTGTAGCTACAGCGCAGATACTTTTCCAGAGGTTTTGGTATGTCACTTCCATGAAACAGTTTGGTATTGGGGTACGTATGCGTCATATATTTGCTTGATGTACTGACTTACCGTAACATTTTGTGCCATATAGGACATCGGAATGGGGGCACTTTATTTGGCATCAAAGCTAGAGGAGTGCCCGATACGTATGCGCGACCTGATTAACGTATACGACCTGCTTCAACAACGGTCGACCCACACTCGATCTGTTCTACTGTCAGGAAACTCCAGCCCGTCAACATCACGTCGAAGGCTCGAATTCCACTACACTCCAATGTCCTACTTCGGCAACACGTTCTATGACTTGAAGGAGGCGCTTGTGGTCGCCGAGATGCAGGTGCTCAAGCGGCTTGGATTCAACGTGAACGTCGTCCTACCTTATGGAACCCTAGTCAATTACCTGAGGCTTCTCGGCCTGACGAATCGCGAGGATGTGTGTAATCGAGCATGGGGATACTTAAATGACGCGTGAGTTCACAACCTACTCTTCTTGCTCCCTGTATTCACTTGTGTTCACGTAGTCTGCAGACGCCTGTCTACGCGCTCTACGCAGTGCCAACGATCGTCAGCGCAGCAATCTTGTTGACGAGTCGGCATCTGAGCATTCCACTTCCCTCTTCTCCTGACAATTGTTGGTGGGAGCTGTTCGATGCCGACTGGGAAGATGTTTGGAGTGTCTGTGGTCACATAATGCGCCTTTACCGAGAGCGCAACATAGAAGACCGGACACGGATCATGGGCATGGTGTCGAAAAAGGGAGTCCGTCAGTGGCTAGAGGATCATCATACCTTCGACAAGCGTGGTTGACGCTCCCAGAACAAGTCGCCTTTGATTGTTCTCTTCATGATGCACGTATGCATCTGACGTCTCCAATCCCGTTTGAAGCCTTCATGCCCGAACCCAGTGCTATACGCTGGGGCCACCACGTTGGAAAACGCCTTGCGGATCAGATACACTGCCAGATAGCAAAGTCGATAGTCCCTCTTTGCGCGAGCTTTGGCGAACATCATCACTCTAATTTGTACTCATAATGCTACAAATGAGTAAATGATGTAACGAACTGTGACATCAATTGACAGCTGCAGACGAAGTGTACCTTCTCCCTTCTCACTCCCAAGTAATGAAGAACATTTACCCACAAGGGACTGGTTATATAACCAGCAGCATGAGAGTAAAATATCAATGTAAAGGATAATGGTAAGAGACAGGCAGACAGGTCCAACAACACTGTATCATTAGTGTTGCAAGCATAGATAATGTAGCAAAAAAGACACCCAACCGCGACACCTTCCCTCTACACATACCGATCATCGTGAGCTGCAAACCACTACGCGACCCAATTCACCAGTTTAGCAGCAACCACCAGATGTCTGCTGCGTGACAGTCTGGCCTGGGGTGATCGTTGATGACTTGCCCGTACCACCAACAGTCGACGAGCTCGAACCCATTCTACAGAGACCATGTGAACATTAGGATAAGATAAACTCGTGTTTCCTGTCTCGTACCTATCCTTAATCTGCTTCGCCATGGTCAAGAAAGCCTGCTCGACATTGGTGGCATTCTTTGCCGACGTCTCGAGGAAGGGAATGGTCAGCTGGTCGGCGAATTCCTGTCGATAATGAAGTCAGTGACCATGATAGGAGACACATCCGGTAAGCATACCTTGGCGGCGCTGTACTCGACAACCTTCTTGCTTGTGAGATCTGACTTGTTCCCGACAAGCAGCTTGTTGACGCCCTCAGACGCATATCGGTCAATCTCCTGCAGCCATTGCTTGACGTTCGTAAAAGTATCTGATCGCGTAATTTTTAATCACTTGCTCCAGCTGGAGTGGAGACGACCGCACCATTATCAGTAACATCATAAACCACAATGATACCGTGCGCGCCCCGATAGTAGGAGGACGTGATGGTTCGGAAGCGTTCCTGACCTGGGAAGCGAGTGAGTGGATGGTTTTGACAATATCGCATGCTACACATACCTGCAGTATCCCACTGACGTTGACCAAATAGGGTGTTAGCGCACGATTCCAGTTGTTGATTCAAAGAAAAAGAATTGTGGAGCGAAACAATATGAATTGAAGGAGCAATGACACAAAGTCGAAAACAATGATCGTACTCAGAGCAACAAAGTGCCTGACGCATACAAGCCGGAGACTCACAATCTGTAGTTTGACCGTCTTGCCTTCAAGCTCAATAGTTCGAATCTTGAAATCGACGCCGATGGTACTTATGTAACTCTCGGTGTATGTGTCGTCAGCGAAACGCAAGAGCAGACAAGACTAAATCGTAGCGTGGCTCAATGGTCAGACAATGATGCCCACATATTATGAAAGCGTGATAAATGGACCTGCCTTGCCGACGCCGGAGTCGCCAATCAGGAGAAGCTTGAAGAGGTAGTCGTATTCGCTGGTATGCATGGCGGAGAAGAGGCTTGAAGAATGCGCTGAGGGCTGTTGGAAGGGCAGGAGGTGGAGGTGTGTCGATGCTGCTGGTCGTGACGCGTCTGTGTTTGGCGTGACCGGCAAAACCCCGCCTAAGGCTGCACCGCTCACCCACTGTAAGCGCCCGTTCTCCATAACTACAACTCGGATCTCACAGCATGATTTTTCGGGCTTGCTTAAGTCTTACACCGGGCGTGCGCAGCTTGTTGCTTGAAAAAAATAATACTTACAATGCCCGCAGGAACTGATATGCATACATCTTGTACTTACATTGGAAAGCTGTAGGCAAGTAATGTTGCATTTCAGCTACAGATTGCGTGAGCCTCGCAAGTCACTCTACACTAATAATTGGATGTCAGATGAGCACATCAGCTATTAGCGTTGCATTCATGAGATGTTAGGAATTCTTACTAGATTGCGGTTAGATTACACTCACATGAGCATGTTCAGCCTCTGTCAGCCTCCACTGCGCCGTCAGGGTGCAAATGTAACGATTTCAGTGAGTCTATGCAACGTTTACTTCGCGCCTTGGATACAAGTGGGAAATATGGTGGTTGGTGGAGGTTTTTCCATACCTATCTCTCGCGTCCCCCGTCATCCTAGTCCCAACACCCCGGGTTCACTCAGCGATGTGTCCGTGTCGGATGCTAGTGAGTTGTGAGTAATTAGACATACTTAGCATTCGTAAAATCCCTCATAAGTTGCCGACAGCGCGTATCTCGTGAATATCAGGTGAGTCCTCGCTCATGTCTGCCGAAAGGGACGCGATCGTATGGAACTTATCAACAGCATCGGCGGCCAAAGTCTAGTTGTACTCCTTGACACCGGGTCCTCCGATTTGGTGCGCTTAGATCGCCGCTCACTGAATCCGTTTCAGTCTGAAATTTCCCTACATAGTGGGCCGTTTCATCGAACTGTACAACTCACGATTGCCAATCCATACCCAAGTACAATGTTACCGATAACAGTTCTTTCTCTCCCTCTGGCACGAACTTCCATTTAGAGTACCTCATCGGCTCTGTCACTGGTAATGTTGGGGCCGACACTGTAACGCTTGGGGACTACGAGATATCGTCACAAATATTGGGTAAGAGATCCCTTTTCTGCGCTTAAGGACGGACAATTCGACAGATTTATCTGTAAACTCAGCTCTGGCGAATAGCACTAGCGGCCTTGACCTCTCCGGCACAGGCTACAGTGGAATTTTAGGGCTGTCTTTCCCCGTGGAGGCTTCCATTCCAGATACGTCAGGAAGAACACTCATCGAGAACGTCTTTGCGTCCCTGAACGCAAGCAGTCGCTATTTCGCCTTCAAGTTGGGAAGAAATACGACCGACTCTTCATTTACCATCGGTCAACTAGACCCTGCAGTCACGAACACTACGTCTGGCTTCAATTATTTCCCTGTCTCTTCTTCCGGCGGTAGCGACTACAACTACTGGAAGCTTCCGCTCCAACGTCTGACAATCAACTCGACTGATTTCTATCTGTCCGACTCGCATATTGAAGGCGCCTCCTCTCCGCTCGCTATCCTTGACACAGGCACCACACTTGTCCTAGGCCCATCGGCTGACGTTGACCGTTTCTGGCTGTCCATCGGCGGTGCAAGAAAGATCAACACGGGCTGGCAAGTCCGCTGCAATCGTGCCGTTGTGGTGGGATTCGTCCTCGGTGATGCTCCCAACGAGAAAGAATACGTGGTCGACCCTGCCGACATGAGCTGGGAAGGAGGCAGGCAGGATGATTGGTGCATGGGTGGCATCCAGGCCAATGACGGGGTGAAGCTTACAATCTGGTCGATTCGCAGTGATCCGCTCTGCTTACCATATTGCCAGGTCTTCTCTGGAGATTGGCTCCTCGGTGACACATTTCTCCGGGTAATGGGCGCCTGACACCTCAGTGTACCTATCTCGCACTGACATGCCTTCAGAACGTGTATGCCTCTCATCACGCTGCCTCCGGCAACCAACCCCCGCTAGTCGGCCTCCTTGGTATCACCGATGGCTCTAGTGCGCTAGCCCAGTTCCAAAAGACGCGAGGGATCGATACCGTCCCCCCCGCCACGATTCTCGCACAACCACCCCGCGAGGACAAGCTTACAGGAGCCGACATTTGTGGAATCGCAGTATCGTGTGGATTTGTGTTTGGGACACTCTTCGCAGTGTTCGCAGAGATGTGCTGTATGCGGCGGCGTATAAAACGAGCGAAATACTAAATTACAAATGTCCCGGAACATAGTACATGTCCCAAACTCAGCTTGTATAGCTACAGACACAAATAAGATTGTGAGATAACACGTCAGGGAAGTGAATTCATTAACAAGAAGCCTATCCCTCGCGCTTCTGGCTATGGTTCGGTTGATTCTGATTGATGTAGCCCGGCTGATAACCCGGTTGGAAACCGTTGGGAGGATGGAGTCCCGTGTAATTTGAAGACTGTGGCTGCCATCCCCCGGGTTGAGTGGGCGGAGGACCATACGACGGGAGCGGAGGCTCCCACCTATGGGTAAATTTGAGGAAGAAAGAAATTATATCGGGTGAACAATCAAAACCGACGTACCCTTGTTGCATCGGGATGTTCCATTGACATATGGAGCACATCCAGATATGCTTTGACCGCATTGGTATGAGGGGGACGAAACATAATTCGAACCACATGCGTGATTTGGCCGAGACGACGGATGCTGTGGGCGGATCTTCAATGCGAGGCGGTATGAAAAGGGTGCCGCTGGTGCATACCATTATGACATCTAGGGCAAATCCTGGGCGTCTGGTCGCCGGACGGGCTGACCTTGGTAGGACAGCCGACTGAAAACGTGGCGTTAGCCAAGGGGGACCGCACTAAGGGGTGCACATTGGGCGCCAGGACGTACAGACGATAGGAATGCAGACTGAAGGCGCCAACAGTCAGTCAAACACGGAGCCAGCAGAGCGGCGGACTCACAGAAGAAATCCATGGATGGCGGTAAGTGGATGAGAGGGGGAGCTGCTGCGGTGGGAGGGAGTCCGGGTTAAAAGCGCACGTTCCAAATTCAGCTGCCCCAAGCCGACTTGGAGCACTGCACTGCAGGCTGGAGCGGAAGAGCGGTGCAAGCGCCCGTTGGCGCGGTCATGTGATATCTCGATCGCGTCTGAGCGCCGCCGCGCATGAATTGCCACCACCTCTGCGCGATGCACCTGATCCCGCACTGGCTAGCCCGCGCTGTCCTCTCAATTCCAGCTGCCAGACATCCTCCGCCCACGGCGATCTGTATTTCAGGTAAATAATGCGCTGCTAGCCCAACGCCTGGCAGACGGAATGGACCACCAGTCCACGTCAATTTCCGCGCCAGCAGGGCTGCCCGAGCCTCGAGTCTGGCGGCAGGCCAGACCCCATATTATGTTGTCTGCGTTGATGGGTTCAGGGTGAGTAAATGCACTTGTATGGCTAGTCTGGTTTCGTGCGCTGCGTCCCCCAGAGTGTAATAAGAAGCGGATATGATAGAAGCCGCCCACACCGTGGGTGGCTCCAATTGAGTCGGCGTCGCACTCTTTGTCCAGACTCTGTTTTATTTGTTGCGACACCCGTACCAAGCTCCGGCTGACAAAGACACGTTCACCTCCTGCTCATTTAAGACATGCGCCGTTGATCGCTACGTGATGATCACGTAGCCGCAGACAATGCGAGTGATCACAGCGCATGTGCGCACCCCCAGCCGTATGTTGTTTTTACAACAGCAGACACCTCACCAAGCAAATCCATGATGGGCGACATGCATCACGGCACTCAAGTGGTTCCTCACAGCTCCCGCGCGGATGTATTCATCGCGACGTTCACAGCGCCTCTGTGCCTGTAAAAAATTTCGTGCCTTTGCGCTCGCAGCCGTGTATGGTCGTATAGTCCGGCCATAGCGCGCGGGCTTCATGCCCGCCCCCGCCGTTCGGACGGTCGGACCCAGGCGCAGGCGCAGGCGCAAGCCCACCCGTCGGTGATTGCGTCGGCTGGCCCCTTGTGTGCAAAGTGTCCAACGCGTAGACCACCGCAACCGTGACCGTCCCCCAGCGCGGCGGCGCGCGCCGCGGTGTGGCCCCGCATTTTGGAATTCACGCACAGCAAAATCCGCGCTATTTTTTTCTTTCTCTGGAAACACATGGCCTGTTGCAGACAAAGCCGGTGGCTGCTTCGTCGTTAATCCGTCCAGGTTCCCTAGACCGCAACGAGGTATCAGAGGGGTCGCATCGCCCTTCGAATATGCTCCACAGCCGTGCTGTTGTTGCATAGAGTGCTGAATGCAGCCCGCACGACCTTGCCACAACGAATTTGAGATGCTTCTTCTGCGCATCCCATATATCACGGCTTCTCATCCACGTCAAGCGGGAGACCGTGAAATTTGACATGGCCATATCAGATGTGACAAAAAAGCCAGGTCGAGCCCGCCCCGGGGACAGCAGACGGACGCCCTGGTATTTCGCCCGGAAATCAGACGTGCGCAGATATGGTCAAGACGGTGCAATTGTCTGTACCGGTGCGATAATAACGATAATGTGTGTTTCTAGCCTTGTGGGTGTCACAATACACTGTCTCAAAATCTACAATCCAGAAGCGATCCTCGGAGAACAACAGCAGACAGAATAATGTGAATTATCCGCGATAGAGCATAAACGGAGATGTACCACTAGATTAAACATATGTTCAAAATGTTCAAGAAATCGACCTATGCAGGGTATCTTTGACGGCTCGACGGGGTGGTAATGCGGGATAGAAGCAGACGAAAACGCAAGGATCAAGCCGCACTATTGATAGAACGAGCTGTCTCCATACTGGCGGCCATCGCCACTGACCGCGGACGACGGCGTCACGGTGCCTGTGCACGCGTTCTGCTGACCCATGGGCGAGTTTGACAGAACGACGGTGCTTGTATCGAAGAACTGCGAAGAGGCATAATCAGAGGCCCCCGGAGCCGAGAGGATGGTAGATTGGTGAGGAACATGTGGGGCGCTTGCAGCCTCTCCCACGCCGTAGTTGAAGTAGAACACTGGGTCCATCGCCGACGGTTCACACGGACGCCCTGAATGGCCCGGGCCATCCAGAAGGAGCGAAGGTGTAACGAGGGCACTTTTACCTTGGAGATGGTTGAAGCCGGAATGTGGCGAGTGCGTAAACGGCGACAGCGGTGAACCCCGATGCGATGCTTCGTACATGCCGGCCCCCGAGCTGCTGGGTGGTGTGCTGGTGGGCCAGTCTGTGCTCGAGGAACATGCAGTGCTCGGGGCAGAGGCCGATGCGAGGCCGGCGGGAATGGTACACAGAGAAAGGGACAGGGGCGGTACGCTGATTGGCCGCCCGAGTGGTCGTCTGATGTACGGGTGGTCAACGAGTGATGCATGCAGCAGATCGTCCGTGGGACTGTTGTTAAAGCTACGGCTACGAGGTTGTGTCATCCTGGACTCCCAGATCATCCGTACCGTCTGTTCCCGTTCGTCGCTCTTGCCGAATGCCCAGCGCATTTCTCGCAGGGCTTGCAGACACGTCTCCGTGTCCTCTGTGCTGCCGGACTCTCCCGCCAGCAGGAAGCCTGCAAAGAAACAGCCGTCTCGGATGAGAGCAGCATCGAACTGGAAAAAATGTGTGCTCAGGTTGCGCCGGAGGATGGTGACGATGCTGCGGACGACAGTCTGGCACTTTAGGCTGGCCTCTGAGTGTAATCGGACGATAGACTCGTATTGACGGCTGCGATTCGAAGCATGCGCATCGGGTAGGTAGGAACCCTCCGGCGCCGGCCGAGAAACGAGGCGTTGTTTGAGCGCTTCACGTATCACATTATCTATAAAGAAGACTAGAATCAGCCAATGAGCCCGGCAATCTGAGCGAGCTACTTACGGCATTCGAAGATGAATATCTGAGGTAAAACCATGAGGTAAAAGATGAGACGTGTGAATGCGTCATTTTTAATTTACGCACCTGCCAGCCATCAATGTAGCGCTCGACGTCCTCGACTTGAACAAAGCCGTCCGTGCCGTACTGCCGTAGGCCATCGAAGCTCTTCCAGCATTGGTCAAGAGTTTCCCATGCGTCGTGAAGTTTGTCTTCGTCGAGCTCGTGGCTTTGCCGAGCCTTGGGACCCGTCAATACAGCATGGATGTCTCGGCATACCGACGCGATACGGATGGGAACCGTCGCATAGCGATAGGAAAAGGCGTACGTTGCCGACGTTCCAGAGTTGTCGCCCAGAGGTGGCAGGGTGCGCTCAAAGGCGGCCAAGTCTTCATTCGTCCTATGGATGTGAGAGACGGGTCAAACGGGTGGATAGCGCGGATAGAGGGTGCCTTACAACAAGATGCGGCCTCCTCGGAGACCACTGGTGACACCATCGATGGCATACGCGTACCAGAAGATTCGTGCGCGGACAAGAGAGTCCACATACTCCCCCTGGCCGCTCTCAACGGATGAGACGGAGGCTAGGCTGCATAAAGTGTAGACCTGGTTGATAGCCGCCTCATACATAGCCTGCGGAACATCAACGCCACGTCCTTTCGCTATCTAAATGAGTTGACGTACCGCTCGTTCTATGGGCGACTGGACCTCTGCGAAGCAACGGAGGGTGGTAAGACAGGTGATGTTTGGGAGACGCCAAGAAACGCACCTTGTGTGAGTGGCAGGACGAGCAAAAGAGCTCGCACACCGTCCCAGGATGGTTTTCGCAGGACGCTGTGGATGTCGATGAGATAGAGGATTTCCTGGACCATTTCATTCACGCGGTCTCTCCACCGTCGCAAGTTGAGCTGGCCGTCGTAGAGCTCTTCGACGCCAAACTCGTTGACGCCGAAGCTGGTCGCCCAGACCACGAGGATCAGGGCGATGAGCTGGCCGGGTGCCTGCAGAACATCTCTGTTCCCCTTGCAGAACTCGTAGTACCTGTTGCAGAATTCCAAGGGCTCGAGGATGGGCCCTTTAGGGGAGATCGGCGTTGGGGGCAGGAGATAGAGGAGGAGCGGGTGCTTACGTTGGATATGAAATCTGCGGAAGAAGGGGGAGCTGAAAAATTCCGGCCTCAATCGAGGAATGACGCTCCGAGGGGGCGTCACGGTGTGGATGGAGTTTTCATCGCCGGAGGACTGACCATAGACGGCCCTGGAGGGGGAACGGTGAGGTGAGGGATGGGGGGACAAGAGAGAGAGGGGGGAGGGGGAAGAACGGACTCGACTTGTTGGAGGCGTCGGCCACGGCGGAGGAGCTTGACAGCCTTGACCTCTGCAAACTCGTCGCTGATTGCATCCGGTGCGATCGGAATTAGCCGTGTGGCGCGATGAATCGAACGGTGAAAACGTACACGCATTTCAAACCGCGCTCGCTGCAGTTTGAGCAGGGCGGGTGCTGGCCAGAGGTGGAGATGGGCAGGTCTTTGAGGTCGCAGCGGACCCTGGGAGGGGGCGGGGGGTCAGCGGGGGCGG